GATAGTTTGAACAATTCAATTTTTTAAACTAATAACCAAACAAGGTCGTAGATGCTCACTACTGAGGAGTCCCACAATAGGACTTGGTGATCCAGCTTCAATTGACTCATGCTTTCAACTATGAAAATACTAAATCTCCACAAAACCCCTTCTGACTATGTAATTGTATATTTCTTTTCTTAAACCTTAATTATCTCATAGGTTTAGATTTTAAACCTGACTAAACTTATATTAATCCCTAATAGAATAAAAATTTTAATGATAAGCAATTTTATATTTTAATTAAAAAAATAATTAGTTTGACCTACGTAAAACCTGACTTTTATTTTCTTTAAATGAGATTTACTTACATAATAAATAAACAAATAAATAAATAGGAAGTGTACCAATTGATTAAATCAAAAGTTTATATGATGATGTATCTTTATGAAAAATGAAAAAAAAAAAATCTTCAATAATTATTTCTATCTATTTAAGAAATTCTAGATAGAAAATTTTTTTTATTCATTGAAATATCTCTTGAAGTCAGTCACTAGTGAGCATATGATTGTAGATCAGAAGGGGTTTTATAGAGAATTTAATATTTTTCACAGTTGAAATCATGAGTCAATTGAAGCTAGACCACCATGGAAAACCTGGAAGCACTGGACGGCCATTTCGTCCTATTGTAGGACTACTATTGTGGCTCCATGAGGTATTTCTTGGAGTTTTAATGAGAAGTAGTAACCAGTGAAGTGCAACCACGTCTGTTGTGAGATACTAACTCGCTGAAGACAATTGATGGATGGTTGCTCAAACTTTGTGGATTGGTTGAAATTAGACATTGACATCGTTGTATACCGGCCGACTCAGTGGTCTAGTGGGTAAGCGCTTGTGCACGAAACTGATATGTCCTGGGTTCGAACCTCACAAGGTGGGATCGTCGATGCACACTGCTGAGGAGTCCATTAGGAATCCCGGTTTTCCATGGTGGTCTCGCTTCAATTGACTCATGATTTCAACTATATAAAAGAAATTACTTAAAATCTCCACAAACAACCCCCTTTCTCATTGTAGTTGTTTTTATTTTTTTTATTTTTTTAAAACGACGTTACTTAGTGAATATATATGTATTTCATATTTTCATAATAGAAACACCTATAAACTTTACTAATTTCAATGGATCAGATAAAGAAATTTTAGGTCAATTAACAATTTTAATAAAAACTAGAAAATTGTTTAAAAAATTTTAAAACTCAGTCTCAAAATTTATTTTCAATTTTAAAAAAAAAACGGGGTATATTTTTTTTCTTTTTTTACCACAGTTACCGTAAAAAATGATTTTTTGGATTATTTTTTTTTTTGGTTTTTCAAGCAGGTAATAATATAGAATAGAAAATTAAATCCGATTATCGATTTTTCTTTTCTATTAGAAAAAAATGGATAAATATTTAACTCACAATTAATATGAATGAAGAATATTGTTTTCAATAATTTCTCATCAGGTATTCTACAATTATAAATCCAAATTAATAAATCACAAAAGAAAAGTTGGCCAAGTTTAAGGCAGAGTATATCAATTTAAGAAAGTGTAATATGTGAATCAAGGATTGTTTGTCATACCCAATTAAATCAAATCGTTAATGTTGAGGCTGACTAATATGAAGTGTTGACTTGAATCAGTTTATAAGTGAAATGAACTGATGAAATAAATGATCAGAATAAATATAGTTGACATGGGGTGAGAGAGACTGATGGGATTACAAATCAGAAATTACGTAATATGTAGAATAATATGAATTAGGTCAGATATAGTAGATAGGGGTGGATGCTGAATAAATTTCTTTAAAAGGTTAACAATTGTAATGATAATAATAATGACAATGGTAAGATGTGTAGATAAAATAAGTTTAAGATATAAAAATTAACATTAATCAAATTAATGTCACCGTATTACAAAATTTATTATTAACAAGTTGACCCTGAAGTTGGCCAGGGTAAAAGGAGCGGCTGAACATATTTCTTTTGGATGCAAAGCTATGACTTTTTAATCCGAATAACAATTGCCTCAGCCGTCTGCAGGATTCTCAGTCTGAAGGAATTAGGTAGACTGTTGTTAACATGATATATTATTGCGAAAGATTGCATCATGTCCCGTCTGAAATAAATGGGCTAAAATAGAGCTGTTAACCGTTTTGACTACACCTTTGCTTAACCACACTGTGAGGTGCTCACGAGCCCAAGTATACAAATTCCTAGAACATCTGCCCATATATGATGGGAATTTTTCAGCGATTAAAATATTTAATTAAAAATAAAGGTCGAAAAAAATTAATTTATAACTATTTTTTGTTTACAAATACATATTAAATGTCTTATATTGTCTATTTTAGTTATCCCCAAATGGGTTACAATTTTTTTCCTAGTAGATAGTCTATAACTTCATTTTTTTTAAAAACTCTTTCATAAAAAGGATTCGATAATCAATAATTAGTTAAATGTTTTACGAAACATATAATATTGATTAAAACATAAACAACTGATGAGCGGCCTATGCTCCTCCACGAGGGGTAACAGGCGTATGTAAGTAAGTGAGAACATAGACAAAGTGATGACATTCTGTTGAGGTATTCAAAGAAATTGATTTCTTTTCTGAAGACAAATTTCACATTCAACTGACATCATTAGAAGAATATTAAATGATCGTTACTTAGTAGATATTCTTACGCAGACAATGAAACTTCATTAATTCCATATGAAGCGAGATTGTGGATGTGCACTGCTGAGGGGTCCCAAAATAGGTAAAAATGTCCGTCTAGTGCTTCCAGGATTTCCTTGGTGGTTTAGCTTTAATTGAGTCATGATTTCAACTATGAAAATTCCATATGTATTATAAATGTGCAAAATTATGAAAATTTTCTTTATGTTTAAGTGGATGACTGGATGTACCTAAATAAAATTATTGATTAAACTGAAAACTTAGTAAAGAATAAACTAAAAATAGTGAGCTTCCCTTATTTATTTGCTAAATCACAGGACTGTCATAAGAAGTATATTAAATTTGTGACTGGAAAGTAATACTTAGGTCTTACTTACTTACTTACGCCTGTTACTCCCAATGGAGCATAGGCCGCCGACCAGCATTCACCAACCCACTCTGTCCTGAGCCTTCTTTTCTAGTTCTATCCAGTTGTTGTTTATTCTTCTCATATCTGTCTCCATTTCTCGGCGTAATGTGTTCTTCGATCTTCCTCTTCTCCTTTGGCATCTAGGATTCCATGTGAGGGCTCGCCTTGTGACTTAGTTGGGTAATTTCCCTAAAGTGTGCCCAATCCACTTCCATCGCTTCCTCCTGATTTCTTCCTCTGCTGAAATATGATTTGTTGTCTCCCACAGTAGCTTGTTGCTGATAGTGTCTGGCCATCGGATCCGAAGTATCTTGCGTAGACAACTGTTAATAAACACTTGTATCTTCTGGATGATGGCTTTGGTAGTTCTCCAAGTTTCCGCCCCATACAGTAGAACTGCCTTGACATTTGTATTGAAAATACTTACGTCTACACAAACAAAATCATAACTCAACAACTGACATTGATTGTATAAAGAAATAAGAACATTGTATAATACAATCAGTCAGATAAAATAGCGCTATAAACAAACAAAAAAATATCTGAGACAAATGTCAGTTAACTAGAATGACTATACAACCATAAGTTATTTCTTGACATCGTTTCAATCTAATATACACCATACCATATAAAGAGGTCATTCAAGTTTACAAAATGAATTTAAACCAATTTTGGAAAAATATTTCCAATACTTATGTGTTGAAGTACATGAAGGGTATCTGTGAAACGATATAGTAAGATTGTTATATCCGAATGAAGAATAAATGGATGACAAGTGCTGGGAATTATTTATGGTCTATATATTCGTATTCCTTTTATCATAGGCTTTCACTCGACCTATTGGCTACCTCCATATGATTTACGTTCTCAACTTATTCCCAAAATATTAGCTACAATCTCCCATACTCACAATCACATTTGGTTTGATCATGTATAAATATTAATTTTCATTCTATAACGTGATGCGGTCTGGTCTACTTGTACATAAGCCACGTATGTCTGAAATATACGAGTCATACAGCGGAGACTGATATTTGTGTTCTAGACTAAACAGGCTGGGCTAGGCGAAAAGTTACTATTCAGAGAACCAATAAGGACACAGAGTTGACTCAAGGCTGCTAGTGCTGGCTGACGTATCGTTGGTCTAACACAGAGACAAGGTCATAGAAGTTGGTATTCTGACTGGCAATTTTGTCACGTGATATTTAACGGGTTATAGGATATAACGAAAATGCAAAAGATTATTCGGTGTGAAAATCAATACCGTAATTGGTTTAAATGAAGGAACATAATTTTTATAGATTAACCATCAAAGTAAAACTTCCTCATTTCGATCTACGTATTTTCTGATTAATAACAATAATCGGTCACAAATAAATCGTATCTGTCAATAAATAGGAACTTCTCTGATATATGTACTTCACCTTGATATTATCTTATTTACTACACTTATTAGTAGAGCGTAGACAGATCGCTTGGTAAACTAAGGCTGATAAATTTCATTTTGACCATCATTTCATTACGCTCTTCATTGAAGTTCTGTTTTGTTCTCACTTCCTCTATACATATTCTTACTTAAATTTGTTCAATTTAGAAGCTAAAACATCTAGTCCAAAATGATCCATTTTTATCGAATATACCGCTCATAAGATAAAGTTTTATGATAACAGTAAAACAACTGTCAGGTTAGCGTAAGATCATAGAACTTATCTTGATTGATACTGTAAGTACCAAATATCATTAAGTAAACTTTCAGTGAGGTATTGTGACTTTATTCTGCACTCACGATTTGATATATTGAATTTTTACACAATTTTATGGCTTTTCATCATAATTTTCGTCACAAAAAGTGATAATGATAATAAACTGGATCATCTGTTTTCCATTTTTTAGATGAAAAGATATTCACTTCTCCGAATTATTCAATTATTCATTTCTTATCAGATCTTCTGTTTACTTTTCATATGTGCACATGGATCCAGTCGTTGTACTACAACTGTAAACAGTGATGGCTTACCAATACTGACATGTGATCATGATAGATTGAAAGCACAATCACATTTTGATATCTACGATGATGAACAGAATGAATTAATTCCTGAATCAGATTATCCAAATGATCCACTTCAATCTCAACAGTCAGCTGAATACATTATGCCTAGTAAGAAGGCTTTTGTACGTCTGGGGAAGCGAGGATTTGTTCGGATCGGTAAGCGTGGATTTGTGCGGATCGGACGTTAACCAACAACAACAAAAATGATCTGTTGAGCTTTTTTTCTAACTACTGAATTATTCAGAAATTTTGGTGTCAGGACTAAAATAATTGTTGTAACCTCTATGCTACTGAATAGAATTCGGTAGTCAGTTGTTTCAATAAAAACGTTTAAAAATATTCTGATAATATGTATAATAATCTTATCCTCTGAGAGTTGTGTTAAGGTGAATTAAGCCAAATTGTTAATAAATCATTGACTTGATGCTGAAGATTTTTCACACTAAAGAATGTGATAAACCTAAATAATCTCAGGTATTTGTTTGTATTCTTTGAACCGTGTTCTGGTTGATTGGACTTGATTCAAATACCTTATCAAATCCAGCTGTTACTTTTGTAGTCATGTATCTGACTTCTGTTAAATCGTTTGACATTCTTATCAAAATACACATCCCAACTACTCTTGCTCATAATTATTGACCTAGTTAATGCTATAGAATAACGGAATAAAACAATTCGAATACGAGAATGAATTATAAATACGCATATTCCGTAAACTCATTGATCCGAATAGACAATTAGAGGAAAGAAGCGGAGAAGGCGAAGCAAAACGAAGCTGCGCGAAGAAGGAGAGTAAGCCAATTCTATTTGACTAACTGTCAATCGACATTTATAGTCAGACAAAAATAACTTACAGACATATAATAAGTATGATAAGCAATGCACACACATACGCCCTTATAAAAACTGAGTTAATACGCAAATAATTAACATGGTCAAAATATGACTGACGATGAACGAATATATCGATCTGAATAAAGGTTAAAATAACCCATGTGAATTTAACGTAGGACTAGACACTTTAAAGCCCCCCTGCAGAAAATAACAAATTAATTTGGGGAAAATATCTGTTTTCGAAAATAACACTGAAGAGGTTAACAATAAAGAGAAAAAATATTGTACTATATCTGACAGAGTACATTATCATGTGGAGAGTGAGTGCATTTTACGTAAGTGTCATACTTATGTAGAAAAGTATATCAATATCGTAAAGATGTGAACAAAAAATGGAATGTCAGTGTTATATCTTGTGGCCGAGTGGATGACTTGTTAATGTATGACGTGATAAAAACTGCCAATCAGAGAGCCGCGAATTTGTCGATTGGGACAGTGACACACGAAAATCGTACGAGCAGTCTAGAGTGCTTATCTGCCCTGCTATTTGTCTAGCCCAGCCAAATAAATCCAGAACACCAATAACAGCCTCTGCAATATAAATCATCATTCACAAACATACTGGGTTTATATAGCAATCAAACAGGCCACATCGTTGCATAAAATAGAAAATAACATATGTACAAGATTTGACCAAATGTGGTTGGGAATAGGGGGAAAGTAATCAATAGACTGATGATAACTCAAGAACCGTATAATAATAGTTCAAAGGTCAAAATAAAGCTAATGACAAGAGAAATACGAATATGATTAGGTTAGTTACTTAACAATTCTACAATAGGAAATATACATATTACATTGGTGCATAAATAGTCCTCAAAAGTTACCATTCACAATTCTCTTCGGGATACAACAGTTAGCATGCGATCATGAACAAATTAATAAGCTTACAAAAAACATGAATTTATGTCATGACTGAAAGTAACACGTTCGTATGAGCGATTTGAAATAGTGTGAAAGCGGAGTAATAAATTGTTCATAACTATGACAGCGGAATGAATCGTAAGAATAAGTAGAGTAGAATAAGACAGAAATTGATCTATGGTGCCTATAGAATATAAAGATAAAGAATAGTTGAGTGTGAATAAGTTATAAATCATAATAGAGTAAAGAGAGTCGATTAGCGATTATTTGATCGGTATTCACATGAAATAAAATATCTGCTTGTAGGATAAGACTAATCAATCCGTAAAATGAGAGCTGCATCGATGGACGATATTCATGGCTGTACTGCAATTGATGATGATTATAAAATGCGAAGTCAGTGTATGTTGCTGTTCGTGTATAACCAGAGGCATCTAGTTACCGTTAAATGTATTAGCAGAATGACCAGAGAGACAGAATACTTACTTACTTACGTCTGATACCCCTCGTCGAGGAGCATAGGCCGCTCACCAGCATTCTCCATCCAACTCTGTCCTGAGCCTTCCTTTCCAGTTCTTTCCAGTTGCTATTCATCCTTTTCATATATGTTTCTATTTCGCCGCGTAATGTGTTCTTTGGCCTTCCACTTTTCCGCTTCCCTTCCGGATTCCAAGTTATCGATTACCTTGTAATGCACATCGGTGATTTCCTTAATGTATGTCCGATCCACTTCCAACGTCTTTTCCTAATTTCCTCTTCAGCTGGAAGCTGGTTTGTCCTCTCCCATAAAACGCTGTTGCTGATAGTATCCGGCCAATGGATGTTGAGTATTTTGCGTAGACAACTGTTTAGAAATACTTGTACCCTCCTGATGATGGTCGTAGTAGTTCTCCACGTTTCAGCTCCATACAGTAGGACTGTCTTGACGTTCGTATTAAAGATTCTCACCTTGAAATTAGTTGAGAGTTGTTCTGAGTTCCATATGTTCTTCAATTGTAGAAATGCTGCCCTTGCTTTAACCAATCCTCGCCTTTACATCTGCATCCAATCCTCCTTCTTTATCAACGATGCTCCCTAGGTACTTGAATGTTTCCAACTCTTCCAGAGTTTCGCCATCAAGTGTGATTGGGTTGGTGTTCTCCGTGTTGCATTTGAGAATCTTGCTTTATCCTTTGTGAATGTGGAGACCTATCGATGCGGAGGCTGCTGCTACATTTGCTGTCTTCATCTGCATTTGGTCGTGTGTATGAGAGAGGAGGGCTAGGTCATCTGCGAAGTCCAAATCATCTAATTGATTCTGAGCTGTCCATTGTATTCCGTATTTCCCTTCAGATGTCGAATTCTTCATAATCCAGTCAATCACTAGAAGGAAGAGGAATGGGGAGAGTAGACAGTTTTGTCTGACTCCGGTCCTTACTGGAAATGCATCTGTCAGCTGTCCTCCATGCACCACTTTGCACTGTAATCCATCGTATGAGTTTTGGATAATGTTGACGATCTTCTGAGGAACTCCATAGTGTCGAAGAAGTTTCCATAATGTTCTCCTGTCCACGCTGTCAAACGCCTTTTCATAGTCAATAAAGTTGACGTATAATGATGAGTTCCACTCAACTGATTGTTCAACGATGATCCGTAGTGTCGCAATCTGGTCTGTGCACGACCTATCCTTATGGAATCCAGGCTGTTGATCTCGAAGTTGGGCGTCCACTGCAGAGAGACAGAATAGTGACCGGGAATACTTTTTGGTAATGAAGCCTAGACTAGTAGTTTACGTTTTTTTAAGGGAGATGCGCTCGACCTCGTTTGTCATGAAACCGTACTAGGGCATGATAAAAATACTGATACATATGACTGTTCATGATGGGCAAGTGCAACGGACTTGGATGTGACGAACAAGAGTGTATCCTTGAGAGACTAGCTCTAAATTGTGTTCTGACTTACAGTGCGACGGGAATAAAATATTAATTGCAGTAATCAAGTAATGTTTATAGGTAATGAATGATGCATGTATGCATATATGTAAACAAATAGATATGAGGAACATAATTGTTACTAATCGGCTGGTAATGCGGCGTCGAATACTTGACGTGTGTGTAGGCATTAAAGTAAGGATGATCGGCTAAACAAAAAACTGAATTTCGGTTTAGATTGTCGTTAAAAAAAACAGAAAACGATTATTGTCGCGTACAAATGTGTTGAATGAACACTAGCTGCATATCGAGAACATAAGTTCTTACTACCAAAAGTATTACTCCAAACTTATGTCTATGACAGAGTTGTTAACTGTCGCCAGAGTTGAGGTAGTTGCAACCATGGCGTGGGCTTGATATAGGTCTAGACACTACATTACAATAAAAGTTATACACCAATGATTGTGGCCGATTAGACTAATGTTCAATATATCACTGTCAAATTATTTAACTCATTTGTTGAAGATTTTTTACACAGAATACTGTCAGTTACTAATTGATTAACTCTTGGTTAACTGAATGCTAGTTATATTAGAAGAGTTCTGTCGGAACGTTATACGATATATGCTCTTGAAATGAGAAAACTTTGCATAAAATGGATAAGAACTAACGCACTGAAATGAAATAACTAGCTTTTAATATTAATGCCAAAGTCTTATCTCTGAACACTTGACAAAGTATTATATAATTAAGCAACTTTATATCTGTAACCGAGGCTAAAGGTAACTTGAGCGACTACATGTTTTACCAATATTTGATTACATTGTACAATGATTGCTGAATAAATTCACATTTTATTTCTTCTGAATGATATTAATGGGACAAAGTGAAGAGACTATATTTCTACCATCAAAAAAAGGGACCAAATAAGTTCAAACATTCCATCTTGTAAGATGAAGTGCCATGGTGATTACTTCTGATAAACTATAAGGGGGTTTCAAACTGTTCATGATATATTTTCGGAATTTGAATGTCCCGGATAAAAAAGTGTTGACAAGAGACTATACTCTTCATGTTAAGACGAAATTATATCAAATTCGATGGTCTGATTGTCAGATAATATTCAGTGTTTCCTTCACCAAACATTTGAAGAGGCATATTTAGTGTTGAAAACTATGTTTCACTTATCCAGAACAGTTTTATCCAAACATTTCTAAACTATCCTAGAGTCTCCATATTTCTTAATTCACTTTTAATTGAATTGGATTATCCCGTTGTTGATATTTTGACTGGAATCTGATCAATCTTGGTCGGCGAATGTGCATCATGTGCGGATCACCTCGATAATCATAGTGACCCAATATAGTACATAATATCCATATTCCGTATCTCTTGTTGGACAGAATTAAGATTTAACTGCCTTCAAATGGATTTCGAACTATTGTTAACTCTATAATTTTGAATAAATTGAGCATTGGGTAGATTGTTATAAATAAATAATATATTTGTAATATCCCAATGAGTAGAAAAATTAGATTTTCTGACGTTTCGTGACTCAGTGTAAGCCACTTCTTCAGAGAATAAATAACCAAATTAACATTAATCGAAGTTTAAATAGTACAACGGAACAATCCAAGAATATTAGGTGATCAATCAAAAACAGGTCTGAATAAATCACTGTCACGTCATTTCATTTCGGTCAAGGTGATTCATAAGCGACATGGATGTAATTTTGTGTGTATGTATGCACTGTTAATAATGAAAACTGTGTGACCTTTATAATTACAAAGGGTAGAGTTTG